TGCCACGTTGGAGCGGAGCGTGGAGGTGGCCCTGGGCCGCGGAGGAGGGGCGGCGGCGGCGGATCCGGGGAGAGTCCGACGTTCTCCGGCTGACGCAGGACAGGTCGCGGAGGTCCGCCAGGTGTGTCTGCCGTTCGGTTCCTGCCCCTCGCCAGGTTCGGTGTCCGCTGCCGAGGCCCGAGGCCCGCTCTCCGCTGACGGCGCGCCCCTGTCTCGTTTCGGCCCCGCCAGGACAACGTCTGGAGTCGCCGCCGCCCGGTGATCGCGCCCGTCATCCTCCGCCAACGTTTCCAGGCTGCCCTGCTCCGGAGTGTGTTTGAGGTTAGGACCCTCCAAGACTCTGCACAAAGAGGTGCGATTCCCAAGGGCGTGGAAGGGAAACGGACCTCAGGATTATTTCTTTCGCTTCAGTTCGGTAGAGATTTTTTTAAAATTGTGTTTGAATTGTTGCCAAATTTAAGGGTTTACTGCCTACTGTCTATGATTGTATTCTTTAGCGTCAGCAGTCGCCAGTCACAGCCTATACTTCAGACGTGTAGGATTTTGCTGCTGTTGTTACAGTAAATTGTGAGGCAGTTGTAAAAGAATTGCCGGACTTGTGGGCGTATAAACTTTTTTTAGGGGGGGGAGCTTGTAGCATTAATTCTGCAGGTTTTTTGAAGTTGCAAGAGTGTTTTGATAGGTTCTCCAAATTGTTTAACTGACGAAAGCTGGCGCTCGGTTCTTTTGTTTACAATTGTAACTGTTAAATAGATCATTAGAAGCTTACTCTTTCCCTTAAATCCTGATTATTCAGGAGTTGGCTGTGTACTGCCCTTTTGAGTAGTTCTGCCCTTGTTTCTCTAACCCTTAATTCTAGCTCCCAGAAAGGAGTGAGAACTTTTGGCTAATTAATCGCTGCCCAATTGTGAATATGTTACACGCGTATGGAGTTTGGAAATGTGAGGTTTGAGATGAGTTTTGGATTTTTCTGATTAATTTTATGTGAACAGGTTCTTTCCTGAACTATGTACGAGTAGAAAGACGTTTGTAAACTGTAAAGTGCAGTGACTATCGCTCTTTTGACATTTTTATTCCCCTTTGAAAGCTTTGGGCTGTCTTCCTGGAAGAACATGTTTCCACTGTATGCACATGCCTGAGTAGAATTTTTTGTAATTTCATGGGGTTTGAGAATCCCACATTAAAAACTTGTAAAGCGATACTGCTACGTTAAGTTCTTTTTGTTTCTTCCTCTCTTCTTCCCTCCTTCCTTAATTGAGATAAGGTCTGTTGTGGCCCAGAATGACTCAAACTCACCAAATAGCCAAGAATGACCTTGAATTCTGACCCTCCTACGCTTACCTGGGATTCTGGCTTGTACCATCACATCTGAACTGTTTCCTTTGTTGTTAATTTTACCTCAGGTTTTAATCTTGTAGATGAGTGTGATATCATCTAGCAACCAAGGCATGAGTGATTTTTTACTTTGGTTGAATGAGGTGAGCCTGGGACAGTTAATAATGCTGAATGACTCTCAGAGAACCAATATTTCTCTCCTCACCGAGATATTTTGCTCACATGCACTTTTACTAAAATAAAGTGCCAGTACGGGATTTGTCTTCCTCTTCAAGAGTCAAAGGTGCCGAGGCCAGGACCTCTGACTTCACTTTCCTGAGGTGTGGCGTGGCTCTAGGGTGTTGTGAGGTTGCTACCTTTGACAGAATCGTACTGTTGGGTGTTCATATTCCTTCATAAAACTTCCTATTTGAAAGTCACTTTTGGCTCATCAGTTAGGAGCCCATATTGCCCTTCCTGGTACCCACATCTAGTGGCTCACAATCACGTGTAATTCCAGCTCCATGGAATCCAACTCCTCTATACTTATACTTACAGACACAAACATGCGTATAATTTAAAAAATTATAAAGAACATCAGTATAAAGAAGAAAGTTTTCACTTAAAAATAAGTTCTTATCTGGAACATTCCTCAGATGTTAGGTTTTGGTCTGTTTTTGATTGAGGCGCGTGATGACACTCAGGATGAAGCCCAGGACCTTGGAGAATACCTTGCATTCTAGGTATGCATTGCGATGTTTGCATTAGAGCTGCATCCCCAACTCTTGAAACAGGAGCTTATCCTTGTAGTCCAGGCTGGCCTGAAACTGCTGGTCCCCTGCCTCTTAATTGCCGTAGATTATATACCTCTGTGTGCCACCTTAGATGTAGTTTTGAAGACTTGTTGGGATAGACCTCTTAGACTGTGAATTGAGAGCAAGAAGCATTCTTAATGGCTGAGCTTCTTCTCCGGGCCCTTTAAGTTGTGATTCTGAAATAGCTCGTTTGTTCTATTTACTACGAGCTAAACAACGTTCTGAACACTCTTAAAACCTTATTTGATTTTTTTCAGTGTATAATATGGAATAGTTTTGTGGGAGAGGAGCAAAAACACATCTGTGCAGTGATGTGAGATTTAGAGCTGAGACTTAGGCTGAAGTTTAAGCGTAGGGTGCGTGTTCCAGGCCTTAGTCTACCTGATGTGCTGTAAGTCCTGTCCTGTAGGTAATAGATACGACCAAACTGCTGTCCTCAAAGTGTCCATTTCCTGTTTTTATTATGACTGTGTTCTGGGTAAAATGATCCTGACTGCAACAATAATGTACAACGTGACTACAGTCACGTAAAAATCCACATGAAACGATTAAATTGTAATTGAGAAGTATAGATGGCTTTATTTAATCCCTCATATTCTAAGGAAGTCATCTGTAATTAAATAAATGAATGTTTCTAAGAGAGGGAAATGCTCATATATTTAGTGAGACTGTATTTTTGTGGCATTCTTATAGATTACGGTAGTCTTGTTTAATTTGATTCAGAACTTGCTGCCTAGTTCTAGGCCATATTGTAACATAGAGTTTTCTTTCCGTAGCTGGCCCCAACACTTCATTCTGTGCAGGCAATAACAGGAACTACGTTTACTGGACCCTTGAGCTGGGCACATGGAGGAATGCTTTGAGCTCCTACTCAGCTATTTCATGGCCCTGGCTATCTCCGTGTTACACATTAACTGATGTTGGGGATTAGGTGGCCCTTGTACCTTTGCTGTCAGGGAACTGTAATTCTACTCAGGATTTTTTTTTTCTTTTTGGTTTTTAAGACGGTCTCTCTTTGTAACTTTGGAGCCTGTTCTGCAACTCACTTTATAGATCAGGCTGGCCTTGGAACTAACAGAGATCTGCCTGCCTCTGCCTCCCAAGTGCTGGGATTAGATTTTTTTTGAGGGGGGGGGTTGGTAAGGTTGTTCGAAGCAGGGTTTCTCTGTGTAGTTTTGACTGTCCTGGAACTCACTTTGTAGTCCAGGCTGGCCTCGAACTCACAGAGATCCATCTGCCTCTGCCTACCAAGGGCTGGGATTAACCCCAGCTTTAAAAAAAAAAAAAGCTATTGATTTTTATCAATTTTATCAAAAATATAGCTATATTATTGGTTTTTAGAAATCACTCTGAAATTAACCTCTCCCTCACCCTTTTTTTTTTAAACATGAAAAGATCCTCTAAGCAGTTAAAAATTTACAAAAAAAGTTGTATCCAACTCTAGTCATTTTAGCTTATCTAGGTCTCGGTACATTTGTTTCCCTTTAAATATAACATTCAAAATCAAAACGAAACTTGTGTATGTTTTCTACATACCTCATGTGTATCACATGCATACAGAGACCCTTGGAGGCCAAAATGTCTTCGAGAACTGAGGTTGCAGACAGTTGTGAAATGCTCTGTGGGTGCTGGGAACTAAACCTGGGTCTTCTGCATGAGCAGTAAGCACTTTGAATCACTGAGCCATGTGTCTAGACCCACCCTAAGCAATTTTGAATCCCAAAAGAATAAGACTTAATACCTGATGGAAAATTGACATGATACATACAGCAATTAGTAAAAAGGCAAATTTGAAAACATATAAATAGTATGTGCACCAACTTTTGTGGTATAATGGTTCATGCTCTGGACTCCGAATCCAGCTATCCGAGTTCATATCTCTGTGGGACCTGTTCCTTGAGGAAGAGACCTGGTCAGTCATCCTCATCAACTCAGACCGTGAAACCCAACATAAATGCGCTACCCATGCAGGCTTCAGCTCTGCCGGGGGCATCTTTCTCTTTGTTTTCTTCAATGGGATATAATAAAGTATCTAGTTAAAAGAGGATGATATCGTATTCTAAAATCCCTAAAGTGTGACCCTGCTGAAGTGAACAGTCATGAGCTTATTGAGAGCCATGTGAATTGGATTTTCATAAATGGACAGAAACTGAATTTTTTTATTAAAGATTAAATCACTTGGCTAAGAGGAGGAAGAGGGATCATGATAAAATAGGTCCTGTTTTTTTTTTCTCTACAAAATCAGAATCCTTTTTCACCTTTAATGATCTTAGATAGTAATCTTATTTTAAAACCTGGTCTCCTGGGTTCAATTCCTAGCACCCACATGGCAACTCAGAACTATCTATAACTCCTGTTCCAGGGGATCTGACATGCATGCAGGCAAAACACCAGTGTACATAAAATACAAATAAATAAGTTATTTAAAAAAAAAAAAAGGCTGGGTCTCACTGTGTAGCTTGCCTGGCTTGGAAGTTACTGTATAGGCCAAACTGGTCTCAGCCTAGCAGAGTTCCTTCTGCCTCTGCCTCTAGCGCTCTATAGAATTAAAGGTACCTGCCACCATGCCCAAACCTCCCTCCCCTCTTCTTTGATATGGAGAAGTGAAGCTAGGGCTTTCTCAGGCTAGCCATTGGTACTCTTCTCAGTGAGCTGATTCCCCCCTACCTGCCTGTGTGTGTAAGTAGGTGTGCTGGTTGATGAGTGCTGGCTGCTGTGTGTGTGTGTGTGTGTGTGTATACGTGTGTACGAGTGGAGGTTAGAGATCAACCTGGGAATCGCTGATTGGCTAGACCGACTCTCTGTGAGCTGCTCGGCTCTTCCTGTCTCATGCTGAATGTTAGGATTATAAGAATGCAGTCTCTTTTTCCTTTCTGTTTGGAGACAGGGTCTCATCAGGTTGCCCAGGCTAGTCTTGAACTCATTCTGTAGCCCAGGATAGATTTGGGTCTGTGATTCATCCTTCCCTACGTCCTTTTCTTCCTGAAAAGCTAGGATTACATGAGTACATCAAAACACTCATGTGTATGTGTATGTGTGTGTGTGTGTGTGTGTGTGTGTGCCCACGTGTGAGTGCAGGTGTGCAAGTGGAGTCAGCTGTGTGTACTGTGTCGGTCACAAGATCACGCTTAGG